ATCTAATCATTTCTAGTAGATATTAGTAACTATTAATTTTATATTTTATTAATATATTTTAAATAAATAAATTTATATATATATAAAAATAGAAATGGAATAAATAATACCCGATATATATACAGTAATATATAACCAGAATTCCCCAGGTTGTAATTTCAATTATTTTTTTAATCTTAACTAGTAATTATCAAATCTTTTAATAAAATTTAATTAAAATTTTGTATAATACAAGACCTCACCAGGTTTACCACCTGGTGAGACAGTGTATTTTTACAGTTTAGTTTTTCCGATAGTTAGTATTAGTAATAACTAGGTCCCATACTGGTAAGAACCAAAAATACGTACGACCTGGCAACCTGGGGACCTACACACCCGGAGAAAATCAATAGCCCTCTACAGGATATCTCTACAATACAGTAGGGATTATTTATACCAGCATACAGATACCAGCTAGGTAGTTGCCTAACCCAGCCACTAACTCCTAGTTCCTGCATGATGTGTTGATCGCATCCGAGGTTATACACCACAAAATGCGCCTCAAAAGCCTCCGAAAGGCAGCGAGATGCAAATGTACCTGGATTGTATGATTAATCATTGCCAGAATCCCTTGACTAGGTGTCTCTCGTTGGGGTTTTCATCGACATGCTAACAGCCCGTGGGGCTATAGATCTGATATATGTCGAATGAATAATGTATGATTAGCTGCATCTTGACCTTGAATCATATCGAAGAATTGCTGAGACAGAAAAGCGCAACGGCTTGAGATTCGTGGAAGTGGGTTTAAATTTGGCATGCAGCATGCATGCACAGAACGAACATATCCACCGACAAAATGACATCTCAACTCCTCTTCCCAGCAAAACCGACCTCTTTACCCTCGATCCTAAATTATCCATATATTTAGGGTTCCATAAGCTGCCTTGGTCCTCACGTTGTATGCCTGTGAATGAACAAATGCCTCTCTCTCTCTCTCTCTCTCTCTCTCTCTATCTCTCTCACTACCTTGTACTAAATGAAGAGAAATGATACTAGTTATAATGACAGTACAAGAACGTTGGAATAATCAGGACAGCCTACTCCATCTTTAGTTGCATGGAGCAATATCTCTGATCTAAACTACAGTAAATGACCAAACAAAGTCAGTACACATTCCCTGCCTCAATCCCCTTCCTCCTTGTCTCTTCAATGACCTCTACCGCCTCCTTCATCGTCGCGACATCCCGCGGGATGGTATGGCCCTTGCCATGATCAAACATGATGGCCGTATCTGGATCGCAAATCCCAAACAATGCCATGTTGCCATCTAGGTAAGGGTCATTAGCCCCGATGATATGACACGTCGGGGCTGTAATCATGTCTTCAGATTCATCCGCCAGACAGCCTGTTACCCGATCCCCTACTATGCGGAGGGGAGGCCAGCCGGCTATAAAAACCCCGTACTACAACCCAGCAGATATGTTAGCATGCAGCGATATTGGAACCTCTTGGTGTGACCAAGAAGGAGAAAAGGTACTACGAATACAAATATGATATCGTAGATTCGTACCTTAAGCCGTCTCTTCCGGCCCTCCTCCTGGACAAGTCGCTCCTCTTCGAGCAATAAAGTAGCGGCGACTGTAGCACCTTCTGAAAAGCCAAGGACTCCCTGTTCATTTCCAGATATACTCTGTTAGTACTATTTGAATATCACTAACGTTGGATGAGGGTGACTGAAGTGATCCGAACGCACGTCTATCTCAGGATGTTCATCCAGTATCCCCAACAGCCTATCCAACGCCTGCCTCACACATTCTGCAGACATCATCTCGTGCTCATGCATCAGTACCCGCATTGTATCTTCGGCCGTGGCTCCTCTCGGCAGCTGACGAATCCGTTCCATCACGTCACTGGACCGCTCGATCCCATCGTACTCGATCCATCGGTAATGAGGCGGCGGACCAAAGTAATCCTGGGATCCTGGCGGTGGTGTGGCGTAATGCCCGCCGTCGACGTAGTGGAAGGAAGTATTGGGGTGAACGGTTTTGTAGACGCTGGTGAGAGGGTCGAGTTGGACTTGGAAGTTTTGGGCACTGCCGAAACCGCCGTGCAGACAGAGAATGGTCATACTGAAAACTACCTTTGATTGAAGGTGAGTAGAAGAGAGCCCGATGGGGGAAGTTGAGGTTGAGATATAGGCCTTTAGACAAAGTTGAACAAGTTGAAGAACTAAATGTGAAGAGGAGGGGGGTGGGGCAGATATAGTAGAGATGTACTACTCCAATTGAATAAGATTCCGATATTTTGGGTGTTGGGACTTGCGAAGATGCAGAATATAGCTTAATTAGTACATGTGATGTCAGATTGTCATTGTTGAGGAATTGACGGAACTAATACTTTCCCTCTCGGCCTGGCTGATGAATCGTCACCGGAGATCACCCATGGTGTACGGTGTAGATCCATGGAATCTATCGACTAGGATTCGGGCTATCTATGTCGATAGTGCCGATTACTTACTCCGGGTTGACGAGGAGCGCAGATCTCTCTCTTCCTATTTTTTTTTTATCTATTTTCTTTATCTATTTCTATTCTTTATCTTTCTCATTTCTTTATCTTTTTCTTTTTTCTTTTACTTAGTACTTCTTTATTGAAAATAGGGAAGAAGAAGAAGTGGGAGAAGTGGAAGAGGAGAAAAAATGGAAAGTTAAATTGAAAATGTTGTGTCGTACAAAATTAACTGGGTACGTACCTATCATGAAGGGTTATCCAGCTAGGGCTTTATTCCGGTTCATAACCTCGTGGCAAACATCTCTTTGGGTTCAATATTGGCATTGGACGCAATACATGGAGGCGACGAGTGTTTTGCAAGATGGTCTTGGCTTTTATTCAATGAAGTCGAGAAAAGGAAAAGGACAAAGTGAAGAAAGCTAAAGAACTAACGGGGGTTGAAATGACGCTAGTCAAACTATTTACTGTACAGTAGCAGCTAACCAGTAATAAAGAAGACTGGATAACATGCACGGCGCTCACTCGATCGATGGATCCCCACATACTATCAACTCATTTGTTGCTTATCCAGATTCTGCTTCACTTTGTCTGGGTAGAGTTGGACTATGATTCAATCTCACTCTCTGTGATACCTTTAGATCTTGAGAGACTCTCACCCACGATATACTCCCATCAGCGACTAATAATCAAAGGAGGAAAGGGAAGACATGCAATCAACCATCCAAGCTACTTTACCAATTGCTAATCATCTCTTCGTAAGCCAGCCCTCGAGTACAAGAGAAAACCGATGTAAAGGTAGAGTATGGTTCAATTGGAGATTTTGTGTAACCCAGGATCCTTCAGTCACGCGAGGTCCATCTGTAACCTAGTAAACCTAGTAATGCAGCTCCATGACGCAAGATTCTATTGCAATATACAGCAAGTTCATGTGCATATGACTAAAGTCATCATATGAACATATCCGATAGGTGCGAGTGCGGGAATTTCATTCAGCTCTGTCTATACATCCATACATCCAGAGGCTTCTATTATGGTCCATTGTACGTCCCCTTTCCACGATTAAACTTTTTCTTACGCAACACACTCCATCCCTATCGAGTCACCGGCAAAACTGCTTGAGATGTAGATTCAAACTCAACCCTCAAACTAATCGGAAGATGTATATCCAAGCTCTCGAAAGTGGGCCCCCATTTCTTGAGATAGAGACAATGATCTCGTCTTCTAGTGTCGCACGGTTACAGCGGTAATCTATCAATATGCCAAAGTCTATTGCTCGTGGGCACGAAGTCAGCCTGACCCAAGCAGCAAGTGGGGCAGTGACGACAACTGATAGCATCGTGTACATGCTAAACTTGCACCAGAATCTGAAGAAAGAGGGAATAGGAACGAAGGCAAAGGCCAAAAGCTAATAATGCCCAACACGATCATGTGGCAGGCTCGGTCAGGTATGAAGGGTGTTCCTTTGCGCCGGAAGAGCTGGAGAACACATATAAATAGCAAGACTCCCTCTACAGCTGGGTCCGTTAGAGCAAGCCTGTTCTTAGACTTCTCTTGCCCTTTTGTCACCTCCCAAGCCTCTGCCTTCCTACTCCTGCCGCCATTATGACCACTACGAACCGCTCCCTGGCACCGATTGCGGTTGTGGGAATGTCCTGTCGCCTTCCAGGCCAGATCCGTACGCTTGATGACTTCTGGACTCTCATATCTCGCGGTCGGGACGCTTGGGGCCCAATCCCCTCAGATCGCATGTCTAGTGCGGCCTACTACCACCCAGATCCCCAGCGAAAGGGCTGCTTCAATCCCGAGGGGGGGTACTTCCTTCAGGAAGACGTTTCCCTGTTCGACTCTCCGTTCTTTCATATCACGCAACAAGAAGCCATTGGCATGGGTAAATAACACCCCATCTATTCCTCCTTATCCAGGGTGATGGACCCTAAGCAGTCCCTGTAACTGACAGTAAGCGTAGATCCGCAACAGCGACTGCTTCTCGAGTGTGCCTATGAAGCGCTGGAGAACGCCGGTTTCCCACAACAAGCCATGTCAGGCTCGCGGATGGGAGTCTTCACGGGTCTTTGTTCGTCAGACTACCGTCGCGGTGCTTTTCGCAACCTGGACTCAGTTCCCATTTTCGACGCCACGGGGAATCAGGAATCTATTCAGGCTGCTCGCATTTCACATTTCTTTAACCTCCGTGGTCCATGTATGGCTATTGATACGGCCTGTTCGTCCAGTCTTTATGCCCTGCACCTGGCAGTGCAGAGTATTCGATCTGGCGATGCGGATTCTGCTCTGGTTGGTGGTACTAAACTTCGTTTACAGCCAGATGATATGGTTTCAATGTCTATGATGGGGTAATCGTCCCTCTATATATGGGCCCTTTGGAAAGCTATACGCGAGATGCTGACGCAAGCACAAAACTCTGGCAGGTTATACAACGAGCAAGGCAAAACATTTGCGTTTGATGATCGTGCCGTCTCGGGCTTTGCATGCGGTGAGGGAGTGGGCTGTCTGGTCCTCAAACCCTTGGACCAGGCTCTGGAAGACAACGATCCGATTTATTCGGTGATTAGGAGCACTGGGGCGAATCATGATGGACAGACTGTTGGTACGTCACTTACTCTTTGGAAGAAATGTTTCGGGTGATATGTAACGTCGCTAGGCATAACAACCCCCAATGGAGAGGCCCAAGAGCAGCTCATGCGAGAAGTCTACGCCCGCGCCAACATCTCTCCAAATGATACGGGCTTTGTTGAGGCTCACGGCACCGGCACCAAGGTTGGCGATCCTATCGAAGTTGGCGCCATCCATCGGGTGTTCGGGGATGGCCGCACCAAGCGGGCACCGCTATACCTTGGCTCCGTCAAATCCAACTTTGGACATCTCGAGTATGCCAGCGGCATTGTGTCTGTGATGAAGGCCTCCCTGATGCTTCACCGCGGATTCATTCTCCCCAATGCTAACTTTGAGCGCGCCAACCCTGCCATACCCCTGGACCAATGGAACATCAAGGTGCCCACCAGTCTGCGCCCATGGCCCCAGGGCAAGAAATACATCAGTATCAACAACTTCAGCTTTGGTGGCTCTAATTGCCATGTCGTACTGGAAAGGCCTCCCCGTTCGCGCGGTCAGGCACCCAGCTCCCCACACGATGCGCCCCGGCTTTTTGTGCTTAGCGGCTATGATGAGGAGGCCGCAAAACGCATCGCCAGGAACCTTAATTTCTACCTGGAACAACACCCGGGCGTCTTCGAACGGCGCCTGGTGTGCGACATAGCATATACCCTGGGAGAGCGGCGCTCTCACTTTCCCTGGCGCGTTGCAGTCACCGCTTCATCTACCGCCGAACTCGTCGAGACTTTGAACGGGCCGGCGAGTGTCCCTCAGCGTGTCAGGCTGGGAGCTGGTTCTTCTCCCGCCATTGCCTTTGCGTACACTGGACAGGGGGCACAATGGCCACGCATGGGAATGGAACTCACCCACACCCACCCTGCTTTTGCAGCCACTATGGAGGAAGCAGCACGTGCATTGGAAGACCTGGGCGCGGACTTCTCCCTGTTCGAAGAGTTGAAGCGTGACGCAGCGGAGTCTCGCGTTAGTCAGCCACAGATATCTCAAGTGGTTTGTACCGCTGTGCAGCTTGCTCTGACGGATCTTCTGGCCTCCTGGGGCCTCCAGCCGAAGATGGTTGTCGGCCACTCTAGTGGAGAGATTGGGGCAGCGTATGCGGCGGGTGCTATATCCGTAAGCGAGGCTATTGCCCTGGCATATTATCGGGGACGACTTGCTGCCCAAGTCCGAGTCCGATTCCCAGAGTTGAACGGTTGCATGATGGCCGTTGGAGAGAGTGCTGATGAGGTGCGCAACATCATAAAGCAGCTGCAGCTGGGGGAGGGAATCACTGTCGCTTGTGAGAACTCACCCCGGTCTACCACGGCATCTGGAGATGCCACTGCCATGGACCTTCTCGCAAAGGAGCTGCAAGCGCGGCAGATCTTTCATCGCAAGCTCCATGTCGACGTTGCCTATCACTCTCCCCACATGCAGCTGATCGCCGATGACTATATCAGCGCCATCCAGCAGGTCGCGCCGTCCACTAAAAAGGAGAGTGTCCAGTTCTACTCTTCGCTGCTAGGTGAAAAGGTCGAACAGCCTGGGGCTCTGGGACCATCTTACTGGGTGGATAATCTAACACACCCGGTTCAGTTCTCAACAGCGCTGGGCCAACTGTGTGCCGAATCGAGGCCCGACATCATCATCGAGATCGGCCCGCATGCCGCGTTGCAGGGCCCGATCAAGCAGATACTGCAGGGAATCCAGAATACGCACACACAGTACTTTGCCTCCCTCGTCCGCAACGAGCACGCTACCAAGGCCGCGCTGCGGCTCGCGGGTCGCTTGTTCTTGGCCGGCCAGCAGCTGGCTTTTCGGGAAGTCAACCAAACTCACCAGAATCAGTCAGTCCCAGCAGTATTGCCGTCCCTCACACCATATTCCTGGTCTCAACGCTCCTACTGGCATGAGAGCCGCATCGCCATCAACCACAGAAAGCCACGCTTCCTTCGTCATGATCTGCTGGGGCGATTGGAACCTTCTACCCGCGAGGATGAACAGCCCGTCTGGCGCAATACCGTGTCTCTAGACAGCGTGCCGTGGCTCCGCGGTCATCGTATGCAATCTATGGCCACTTTCCCAATGGCCGGCTACATCAGCATGGCCGTCGAGGCGGCATCTCAGCGGGCTCAGCTCAAAGGGCTCTCCCTGTCCCAGATTGCCGGGTACCGACTCCGAGAGTTCCATGCCTCCTCGGCGTTCACCTTGGAGGAGCACGTCGAGTACGAGACCTGGCTCTCTTTGAGCTCATTCACGGAAGGCACTCGCTCCTACTCCAGCGAATGGGACGAGTTCCGTGTTGCCTCGTGGGCAGCTGGTCGGGGTTGGAGTGAGCATTGCCGTGGTCTTGTGGGCATCAGGCGCCAGGAGTCATCCACCACCAACCCTGTTAGCCAACGCCGGCCGTTTCATGCAAGCCTGAAGCGGCGTGAGGAAGCTAAACAGGTTCACCACCGCCCTGTCTCATTAGAGAGCTTCTACACAGACCTAAAGAATCGCGGAGCCGGATACAGTGACGCGTTCTCACTCGATTCAGAAAGCGGGGTGACCGTTGGGGGAGCAGGCGTCGGGGCCAGCAGGTATGCGTGGGGAAAGCTTACAGTCCCTAACACCGCGCAGAGCATGCCATCGGGCCATGAGACCACGTCTCTTGTGTCCCCGGCATTCCTGGATCTATGCTTCCAGTTATCCTTCTCCACTTTGGGGGCGGACTCTTCCACCATTCCGTGCCTTTTCATGCCGACTTCTGTACGCGAGATCAATATTGCAGCCAATTTCCCTTCCCAACCGGGAGAAACGATGGAGGCCCTGGTTAATGGGCTGCCGGCGGACGCCTCCCGTCCCCATCCCGTGGATCATACCATTGATGCATGGTCTCCGTCTGCGTCCACAGAGCAGCCCGTTCTCACTATCCAAGGGTTCCGAATGACCCCTATCAACAGCGATATGCTGATCGACTCCAGCCCGTATCCGTGGTGCTACACTGTCCAATGGACGCCACTGCCGTCTTTATATGCAACAAGCGGCACCCCTCCAGATGTTTCAGAGATTAATGGACATGGCGAGACTAATGGCAATGGCCTTGTGCATGCGAACGGCAGTCACAATACATCTAGTGGAAGCCGCCATGTGTCGTCAGAAGATGAATTAAGCGTCATCATCATCACTGAAAGGTCCAGCTCTGATCCGCTTATTGGTTCTCTCATGAAAGCTATTGAGGCTTTCGTGGGGTACAGAACAACGGTCACCCCCTTATCCCGCGTCCAGGTCTCATCCCAGCATCGATACATCTGCCTGGCTGAGCTAGATACTCCAATTCTGCAGTCACTGACCCCACAATCCTTCGATCTTGTCCAAAGACTTCTTGTTACATGTTCCTACTGCCTCTGGGTGACCTCCGGCGCATATATGGCTGTCGACCACCCCGAGCTAAACATTATTCAGGGCCTGCTACGATCTGCGCGTTCAGAAACCGGAAATACAGTCGCCAGCCTTGACCTCGATCCCAGTTCTCGCCAAGACTTCCCAGGTCGGGCTCATCTGATACTGGATGCCTTCAAGGCGTCAACCAGCACTGGCCAGACAGTCAGCAATAACGAGGAGGAAGCCCCTCTATCCGATTACGAGTTCACTGAAGTTGGTGGACGTCTGATGGTCCCTCGTCTAGTAGAGCATGCGGAGCTGAACAATACTGTGTTCCAAGAAACACATCCGTCCCTTCCGTACGCGCAGGACTTCGAACAGGGGACTAACCGTCGGCTTAAGATCGCTGTCGGTACATTGGGGGTCCTAGACTCCCTTTACTGGACGGATGATCCTGCCCAGCCGCTCGGGCCCAATGAGATCGAGATCAAGGTCGCTTGTACAGGAGCCAATTTCAAGGATGTGGTGATTGCCATGGGTCAGCTCGCCAGTCCTTACTTGGGTATTGAGTGCAGTGGCATTGTGGCTCGCGTCGGAGACAAGGTCGACTCCCTCAAGCCAGGGGACCGCGTATGTGCCATATCCCACGGCGCGTACAGCACGTACGCGCGGTGTCCGGCAACCAGCGCAGCTGTGATCCCGGACTCAATGAGCTTTGAATTAGCCGCTTCAATCCCTGTTACTTACAGCACGGCTCAGTGTGGACTTGTTGAGATGGCTAAGATGGAAGCCGGGGAAAGCATCCTTATCCATGCAGCTGCGGGAGGCGTCGGCCAGGCCGCGATCCAGCTGGCTCAGCTGATTGGAGCCGAGATCTATGCCACGGTAGGCAGTGAGGAGAAGAAGCAGCTGCTAATAGATCGGTACTGCATTCCGGAAAGCCGCATCTTTTATAGTCGTGATACTGAGTTCGGTCCCTGTGTCCGTGAAGCCACAGGCGGGCGCGGAGTGGATGTGATTTTGAACTCGCTGGCAGGCGATTTTCTCCGCGAGACGTGGGACTGCTTGGCTCCCTTTGGACGATTCATTGAGATTGGAAAGCGGGATATTACGTCCAATACTCGGTTGGAGATGGCCAAATTTGAATACAACTGCACGTTCTCCTCTCTGGACTTGACGCTTGTTGCGGATCAGAGGGGCAAAGTTCTGAACCGTGTTTTGACGTCTGTCATGAGAATGTTCGCACAGGGAAGGCTGACGTCTGTATATCCGGTAACGACCGTAGGCATCGCGGAGGTGGAATCGGTGCTTCGAAAGTTACAGAGTGGAAAGACGACGGGCAAGGTCGTCGTGGACCATCGGATCAATGGGAAGGTCAAGGCCACGCATCCCCTGCCGCCCACCGATCTTCTCGCATCGGATGCCACGTACATTATTGTCGGTGGCACCGGAGGCATTGGCCAATCGATCACTCGGAGAATGGTTCAACGCGGAGCTAGACATATTGTCCTGCTCTCTCGCAGTGGCGTCGTCACGGACGCAGTCCAAAAGGTCATCAGCGAAGGCCAAACCATGAATGCATCGATCCACGTTAGAAGTTGTGACGTGTCCGAAGTCTCGCAGATTAAAGCACTTATTTCAGAGCTGCAAGAAGAACTACCTCCAGTCCGGGGTGTTATTCATGCAGCCATGGTCCTCAAGGTACGCTTATCCCCTCCAACCATCCTTCTTTCCAAGAAATTCTGACAGTTATGCAACTAGGACGTTTTCATGGAACAAATGACCTTCTCAGACTGGGAAGCTGTGCTTCGTCCCAAGGTCGCAGCAGCCTGGAACCTCCACTATGCTCTTCTCCAGCAACCACTGGACTTCTTCATCATGCTTTCCTCCGTTTCTGGCATAATCGGCAACCGCGGTCAAGCCGCCTACGCAGCCGGAAACTGTTTCCTGGATGCTTTGGCACGATACCGGCGCCAAAAGGGTCTATCCGCGGTATCTCTCGATCTTGCCGCAGTAGGCGACGTCGGCGTGCTCTCCGACGACGCAGAAAGAAAAGCACAAGTGATGAAGAACCTGGCATCGGGTAACGCGATGCAAGAAGCTGAAGTACTAGCCCTTATTGAATTTGCGATGCAGGGCCAGGAACTCCCTGAACAATGCATCACCGGTGTACATTGGCCTTCCTCCTCCGCCACTCCGTACTATGCTGCTGACGCCCGCTTTACCCATCTTGTTGAGGCCGTGAAGCAGGAAGAAGGAGGAGCTGATACGACAGCCCACGGCGGCTTGACCAAATCCCTCTCCATCACCCAGCAAGTCCGCTGTGCCACGAGCTTACAAGAAGCCCTCGATGTTACAGCCCTCGGTCTGCGCGAAAAGTTGGGTGACATTCTTATGCTTCCCCGGGAAGTGGTGGAGGCGCATGCGCAAACGACCCCGATTGCGACCTTTGGATTGGATTCGTTGAATGCCATCGAGTTGAGGAACTGGATTGGAAAGGAGCTGAAGGGCCATTTGCAGGTTTTGGAGTTGTTGTCGGCGGGCAGTTTGGGCGATTTAGCGCTGTTGGTGTTGAAGAAGTCCAGTTTGGAGGGCGCGTGGAAGGGAGAAATTCCTAGCTGATTCCAATTTTGGTGACTGGATGCTTAGTATCCTTGGGTTCCTCATCTCGGCTAGGTATATGACTTGGGATGATGGCATTTTGGGGAATACCTAGTGGTGTGTGCCCTGTACTCTATGTGTATATTTGGGGTTGTCTCTGCTACATTGTAATCTGACATAATTTGGAACGTCTCAAGCTCCCATAACGTATGCAATTGCGCGAAATCACTACTAGTATGCATGATACTCGTGACTCTTGGAGTCAAGAGGAGCTCATCCTTCAGCACTTCCAATATCTGTTTTCATACTACTAGTAGTACTGTGGAAATGAATAGAAGTGCGATAGTAACTCTTCATCTCACAGCCCACTCTGTCAGAGAGATACCTCTATCTCTTCAATTACGCGCATCTAGTATTATACCAGTGGTACTGACTTTATGTTTACAATGGGGAGTAGAAATCATATTGAGTACTAAGAAAACGGGAGTTACCCACGAAGTACAACAGGCTTTGTCCCCCCAGTAGAATTTGTTTCCAAGATCAAAGGATATGAGCGCAAAGTTGGTGGGAGTCAAGAGACTGCAACGTTTCGATACTTCTCTTATGTGTGAAAATAGTTGTGAGATGGCGTTTCCAAATTCTGTCATTCGCCCGAGATGTATAGGAGGGGAAGATCACGAAATGAAATATATCAATCTGTTATGACTCAATTATTAAAGACATCATCCATCTGACATCTACCGGCATCATTGGTCTAGTGGTAGAATTCATCGTTGCCATCGATGAGGCCCGTGTTCGATTCACGGATGATGCATTCATTTTTCTATTTCTTTTTTGCCTTCCCTCACCCTCCCTTTTGCTCGAGTGGGAGATCCACTCGATTTCTTAGTTGCGTACATTTCCCAAAAGACAGAATAATACAGAGACTGCTGCAAAACTCCCTGTAGACATACGTGGGCTGCTATCCTAATCCGTATCCCGTAATCTCTCCTACCTTATCATGCACCCTAACTTCTCATGCCACCATCCCACCCAGAATAGCAATGGTATGATGACTCGCAGATGCAGGAATACCCCGTCTGGGGTGTCTGAAGAACTGTACGTCCGAGCCACCCCCGCAGGAGAGACTTGATGAGCTTAATTGCGTGGTTTGCGAGACATTCTCCCCTGATCGCCGATACCCGCCAATCGGCGAATTCTATGCCCTCCGAATCCCCTGCGGTTAAATACGATCCCCTCTCCTCCACCGGAGATTGTCCCTGGGGAGAGTGCGCTATGATTCTCATTCAAATAAGAGTACAACGATCGCTTTACTTCCCTTCACCATGACGCACAACCATCATGCGGTCTCTGCAGGTCCTCGCCCTAGCAGGCGTGCTCGGCGCGTCTGCCCTTGATGCCGACTCCATCTTGAGCAATTACTTTGGGAACGATGCGCCTTGGTATAGCGATCGAATCCCTCTCTTTGAGACTGATCTTTCCGACATCCAAGATGTCTACTACTATCGCTGGAGCATATTCCGGGCCCATCAGCGCGACCTTGGCTCCTACGGCTACATCACGACAGAGTTCCTCAACGACGTTAGCTGGCAGGAAGAACCTTATGCCCTGCTGATAGATGCCTCCAACTTCCATCTGCGCGAAGGTCGCTGGTGTCGCGACCGTCGCTTCACCAGCGACTACTCGTCCTTCCTCTTCGGTCCCAATGGCGACCCCTACCAATTCTCCGAATGCATGGCCGACGGCGTTTGGCAGGCCTACCTAGTCAACGGTGTCGCCGATGATGCCACTCCCCTGCTCTCTTCCATGCAGACTGTCTACGCTGGCTGGAACTCCACCACCCTCGGCGTTGGTGGGTACGACACCTCCAAGGACCTTTACTGGATCCAGCCTCTGACCGATGCGACCGAATACACCATCGCCAGTATCGATGCCTCTGGCGGCGAAGACGGCTTCACAGGCGGATATGCCTTCCGACCCAGCATCAACAGCTACCAATACGCCAACGCACTGGCTATCGCTCACATCGCCAATCTCACTGGCGACACTGCCGTACGCGAGCAGTACACCCAACTGGCGAGCGCTCTCAAGACCCGCCTCCAGGACGACCTCTGGAACAGCACCTTCGAGCACTTCATCGACCGCTACGAGGAAGATAATGAGTACGTCACCTACTGGGACTTCATCCGCGGCCGCGAACTCGTCGGCTACGTCCCCTGGACGCACGACCTTCCAGACGACAACACCACCTACGCCAACGCATGGACTCATATCCTCAATTCCTCGCAGCTAGCGGGCGAGCATGGCCTCCGCACCAACGAGCCCAGCTACCAATACTACATGGTCCAGTATCGCTACGACGGCTCCAACCCGGAATGCCAATGGAACGGGCCCGCCTGGCCCTATCAAACCACGCAAGTCCTGACGGGCCTCGCCAACCTCCTCGACCACTACCCCAAAACCGCTGCAACAGGCGTCATCACCACCGCAGACTACACCAGTATCCTCCGTCAGTACGCCCAACTACACTACAACCCCGCCCGCGGCGGGGTCCTCGACATCGAAGAAGACTACTACTCCGACACGGGCAGTCCTATCGTCGGCTTGCCCCGCTCCCCGCACTACTTCCACTCGGGCTTCGTCGATCTTATTCTCTCGGGCTACGTGGGCATCCGACCTCGTGCGGATGATGTTCTGGAAGTAAACCCTCAGGCGGACGCCTCGGCAGTGAGCTACTTCCGCGCCGAGCGCATCCTCTACCACGGTCACGATGTTGCCGTGCAATGGGACTCCACGGGCAGTCAATACGGCACGGTAGGTCTCGTTGTCGAGGTCGACGGCGAAACAGTGGCCACTAGCAAAACCCTCACCCGTCTCACGGTTGAGTTAAGCTCCGCTTCTGCGCCGGAAATCTCCCGTCCTATCGCCGTCTCGGTGCAACTCGCCGCTGATAGCGAGTATCCGCGGGGTAGTGTATCTGTGGCAGACGCCGACACAGACGACGTGCACGCGGCTATCGACGGACGAGTTTGGTTCTATTGGATTGAGGACGTCGCAAACGGGTGGGATAGTCCCATCGGCAATGGAACGGAGGTGTGGTACCAGGTGGAATTCGAAAATGCGACAAGCACAGCAAGTGCCGAGATTGCGTTCTTTGCGAATAGTACGCAGGGGTATGATGTGCCAAAGAGCTATCGAGTCGAAAGCACTGGCTCAACAGGGGAGTGGGAGGAGGTGACTAATGCAAATTATAGCTCGGCGGTGGCGAATGGAATCACGACGGTTAGTTGGGATGAGGTGAAGACGGAGGCGTTGCGGTTGGTGTTTACGCCTAAGACGGGGGAGATGGTGCGGTTGGTGGAATGGAAGGTGTTTGGGTAGTGGCGGAGTATGGGGGCCGAATATAGGGTGTGAGGGATTTTGTGCTTGTTTTACTAGGTATTAGTATAGGTGTATTGATTGTGTCTATTACTTCTGACTGGCATGGGGCAGGGGATAGATGATCGTTGGTAGATATGCTGCCACATGGCTGCATTATGATTGTGGTTCAGGAGGGAGAGGTAGTAATAGTATCCACCATCGATTAATCTATATCCGAACTTCAACCCTGGATCAGAGATCCTCTCAGCCAATGGTCGACGTCAAGTGCCGCGCAATCATTATTACCAGGAGGGATAAACGTTCAACAGGTACCACTGTACATGTGGAAACTTCAGATAGGGAGGTTGGTCAGAAAGTACTACAATAATGACACAGATATGTATCCCAACATCCGTATGATCATCTACTTATGCAGTGTACATCAAACCCTGCACAATACCATCATCACTAATCCTTTTATCCCACCCTCTTCCTCCACAAATACTAAGTTCATGAGTAGCATAAAACAGCCCCTCGTTGCATATTACCTAATACAGTTAGTACCATCGCCCATACCAACCAATAACAATGACACCGGAGCATAACTCCCAATCTAGAATGCCGAAATCCGATTTACGTTCCAAAATTGCCCAAAGCAGTAATATCCTCTGATTCAGACAACTTGGATTGTTCTTTCGCGGCCCACTCAACGGTTTCATTCTGATTCTTGTTTTCTCTTTGCTCGGGAATAACACAGTGCTCGGTTTGCCGTGTTTAGTGCTTGTGCCCGATGCCCGCTACATAGTGTATGTGGTGGATGATGTAGATGGTGGGTAACTCATACATGGATATGGTATGATGGAGTTGCACAATGCGGAACAGGTAATACTCTACGACGGCACTGTGGCCCTGGTTCAGACCATGCAGGGTACGTAATGCAATCATACCGAAGGAATATCAAAATACTACTAACAGAAATAGGATATCCCTCTTATCTAGATACTAGACTATCGCCGAGACGGATATCCCGCCGCCACAGCCGGACCGGAGACTTGGTTTGCTAAGCTTTCGGGGTGTGGATGGAGTCCGTGGTAAATGGATAGATTTGCCAAGGTTCTTGTTCTTGATAATGAGAAGAGAGGATTGAGATTCGGTATTCCATCTATGTCTATGGTAATGGATTGGTTGTTGGTGCATGAACGTAGTCGTTAGAGTTATAGTAGGTTTAGTTGATACTAGTAGATGATGCACATAGCCCTGTCGGTACTTTCTAGAATTGATCGGCAGCGTCACTGCAGACTGCTCCACCAGCATAAGTCCGTCTAGTGTCACTGTTTGCCTGGATAATCGGCTCCTCCCCTGGCCACCATAATGTCCAAGTTCTGGTTTGAAATCGCGCACCCAAAGGACACCTTGATATAAATACCTCGCAAATTCGCTCGATTTATGGTTCTATCCTCATCATCGCATCGTGTTCTGTTCGTTCTTCACTGCTCAAAATTGTTCTCATCGCATATAGACTTGCTATTTCCAAACCATACTTCATATACTCTAATACTACTTACTACGCCAATGGCCACCACTCCCGGACAACGCCTCCTCCCCGTGGTCGTCGACCACCTCGCTCAAGCCAACCCTGCTCAGCGCATCGGTCTCATCCCCACGGGTGCTGATGTCTCCGATGGCTATGATA